CAGTCTATGATTATCATATTACAAGTTATATACGATGAAGAACGGTCAGCGCGCCGTGGAGAGCCTTGGAGAGCGTCTGGGGAGACTTTAGCAGCGATTCTCTGTGAGTTTGAGAGTGTTAGCTATACTAGCACGCTGATACACTGTTTGCTGACAGAAAAGTACAGTACATTATGCATTTCAGCAATATACAGTAAATATACAGTAAATATAGATGGATTATTACAGTGCGGTGTAGATGAGCTAACATATGTTTGTTTGACGCTGTGAATGTTGCATGTAGCTCGTGGCTAGCGGATTAGCCCAGCTCTGGACCACGGAGGCAAGCACAGCTGGATGCAGAGAAGAAACCGATGCGGTGCTCAACTGATGCTGAGGTCAGAGATGCTGTGCTCACTATCCCAATACAGAATGCATATAAATGGAATGATATAAAGCTGGAGGTTATGGTAAATAAAGTGCAAAAAAAAAAAAAACTAATACATAAATCCTGAATCTCACCTGGTGACTCTGTGCAGGAGGAATATGGTGCGTTTGCTCTCAATGGTGACATCTCGACTGATCTTCACCAGACGCTCGTGTTTATCATGCTTGGTGTCCAGCTCTTGCTGGAATACTGTAGAAGCATGAAAACACAGCAGTATATGTATAAGACTCATTCATCTGGAGCACAACACATGAGTGTGACTCACCTTTGAAAGCAGCGATGACAGATGAATCCGGATTCACACAGTCCTCTGGTTTATATCCAGCTTCTGTCTTTCGTTTTCTGGCACATCCATCGTCTGCGAGCAACATTAAATACATACACATTTACATAAACAAAAGCATAACTCCCCATCATCGTAATCAGCATTAACGTCAAATGAGTTTAAACTGCGATGAAAGATGCTGCCTGTCAGGCTTTACCTTCTCGTTTACTCATTTCTGTAATAAAGTCTGTTCCACTGGACAGTAAACTGCTTTAGTTTACCAGCTGGTTGTGGTTTTAGTGAGTTTAAATCCAGCTGAACGCCTTCATCAAGGCTTTTCACGCGTGTCTGTATGATGCCGTACTTCCTCAAATATGAAACCTAGAAATAATGTATTTTATAAACGTGTTCTCAATATCGTGTTTTCTTTGTAAAAAACGGCGGTTTGCGTGCAATTCGGTTTATTTTGAACTCTGGCACGCGAACGGACTTCTATTGTTTACGCGGGACCTGCGCGGTTTAATTGCGTGCCACCGCACGGCATTCTGGGTAACGTAGTCTTACGACGATATTTTGGTCCAGTAAGGAAAAATCTCTTTTTTTTTTTATTTCGCCAAAGAGAAAGGGGCGAGTCAGATCAATATTTACATTTTCCTCCTTTCCCGAAGGCTAAAGAGGTTTAGTTTTAATTATTAAAAGACATTCATCCGTGTAATGAGTTCCTCAGACACATACTTAACCGAAGCTGAACATTTAGCCTATTGGAAGTTGGAACATTTATTTTATTCATGCAAATTTTCAAAAATATATAAAAATATATATATATGTTTGTCCCCCCCCCAATCTGAATTTGGATATTGAGTTTTTGCTTAATATGTTTGGCCATATATTTTATACACAAGTTCTGATGTTTTTAAGATTTCTCCTCCTTATTTAAATCTTTAAATCTCACGGATAACAAAAAAGTTCTTAAGTTGTGTTAACTTTTAGAGGTATATTTTGTTATTTAAACCTCTTTTCTTTTGTCTTTTTATTGTTAATTTTTTTAAATAATTTTTTATGTTTTTGCTGTGACTTAAATATGTTTGGAATTGCATTAAGTTTTGTATCTACTGAGGCATGTAAAAAAAAGTCCAGTAGTAAAAGTGGTGATCTTAAAATGATTTATATCAGCCTTTGCTGAAGAGTTCACAGAAATGCTATCAATGATTTCCTCAGAGTTTGACTGTTTTGCTATTGCAGGGGATTTTAATATTCACATAGATAATGCAGAAAACAAAACTACAAAAGAAATTATAACCGTTTTAAACACTTTTGACCTGATTCAGCATGTGCATGAACCCACACACAATCGGGGACATACTCTAGATTTACTCATCAGTAGAGGTCTAAACATTTCATCCAATGTTATTAAGGACGTAGGTAGCACTATCTGATCACTTCTGTATTTTCTTTGATATATTGATCTCTGCTACCAGAACCAGAAAATCTGAGCATATCACACCAGTCCTCAGGTCCTTACACTGGCTTCCAGTTATATTTAGGATTGATTTTAAAGTACTTTTACTCGTTTATAAATCACTCAATGGCCTAGGACCTAAATACATAGCAGATATGTTCACTGAATATAAACCTAACAGACCACTCAGATCATTAGGATCGAGTCAGTTAGAAATACCAAGGGTTCACACAAAACAAGGGGAGTCCGCTTTTAGTTATTATGCCGCCCGCAGTTGGAATCAGCTTCCAGAAGAGATCAGATGTGCTAAAACATTAGTCACATTTAAATGCAGACTCAAAACTCATCTGTTTATCTCTGCATTTATTGAATGAGCACTGTGCGATGTCCGAACTGATTGCACTATATTTTACAGTATGTATAATCATTTTCTATTCTTAACTGTTTTAAATTCATTTTAATCTTAAATCAATTTTTAAATAATTTTCAAAGTTTTAAAAAAACCTTGTTTTATTGTTATTATTTTCTTTTCTTTTATGTAAAGCACTTTGAATTACCAAATGTGCTATATAAATAAACTTGCCTTGACTTATATATATGTGTGTGTGTGTGTGTGTGTGTGTTTGACACACATTCACGGAAGTATTGTGAATGAAAGCTATAGTTGAGAGGTGCTTTCTTTTGATTGCACATACAGTAGATTACTGTTCCTCACTGCCAGCCTGAAGGATTCATGCCAACTGTGTACGTGCTGCCCAGTGCCTCCTCACTGTCTGAATGAGTGCCAGCATGTTCCTACAGGGGGCAGTGGACGACTAAATACACATTCATAATCATCAAGTGACATTTCTGCTCAGTTTATTGCAATCCCATACTATTTTTGCTTGCTTGACAACTTGCAAGAATAGTGTGACTTGCCCATTTAGACCAGGAGTTTTCAGTCTTTTGGATGCTACGGACCCCCAATCCTCCTCGCACATGAGACCCCCATTCTAAAATTAAAAAATACGCTAAATATTTTCATGTACTAAGACCAAATTTATATTATAAATGTGCAAACATTTACTTTCTGTTATATGTTACTTTTTCCCTATTTACATTTCTTAAACAACATTTTATTCATATTTTAATAGCATTTAGTTTAAATTGTTTTTACATTTTTATCTTTCTTTTTTCTACATTTTTATATTTTTTACATCAGTTTGAAAATCTTTATTTAGACTAGAACTGAGAATATATAGTAGCTATTTATCAGATGTTATAGTGAGTTTATTAGTCCGTCTTCTTGCCCTGTGTATGCTGCTATACCATTTACATGAATGACATTACAAAACAATGCATTACATTAAATTTCATTTACATTTAGTCATTTAGCAGACGCTTTTATCCAAAGCGACTTACAAATGAGGACAATAGAAGCAATCAAAACCAACAAAAGAGCAATGATATGCAAGTGCTGTATCAGTTAGCATACACAATGTTTTTAATACAATGAATAAAAATAAAACAAATAGATATAACAGGAAAAAAAGAATAGAGAACGCTTGTGTTAGAGGGTCTTTTTAAAATAAAATAAAAAAATTCAAAAGAATTGAAAAATGGAGAATACCAGAATTAGAGCGTGATTTTTTTTTTAAATAATAGGCTAAATAAATAAAAAAACAAGTTAGAATAAAAATAGAATAGAGTGCAAGTGTTTTAGAGGGTCAAGTGTTGTTGATGTTTTTTTTGTTTTGGTTTGTTTGTTTTTTTATTTCTTCCATTTTTTTTAATAATAAAACGAAAACAAACAGATAAAAAAAGAATTAGAAAAGAGAGTGCTAGAGTCTTTAATGTTAATGTTGATTAAAAGCCTTTTGTTCTTCAATAACTGTGAAATAAACCAGTGTAATAATCAACTTAACAAAGACCAACAGGATTATCAGCATGATTAATTTCTAAATAGAAAATAAAAAAAACTGAAGAAAATCAATCTAGTTTTGGTTACATAGACTAAGTTAATTTAGCAGGTTGCTTTCAATTCAATTGAATGCAAAAACAATAAAAGTAATTGGATCTAAAGTGATTGTCACAAATAGAACCAAATCCGATTAATTTGAACAAATCAGTTCGAACGGACCCCCGTCGACCCAAACTAAAACCTGCACCCTAGTAGCCTACTTCAAATCCTTACTAATTAGGCCACCTACTCCTAACAAAAGCATTAACATTTTAAGCTCCTTCTGAATGCAACAGATGTTACGCGACATGTTAAACTCAATTTCACTCTCAGCCCGCCTTCAGAGAGTGTGTGTGTGTGTGTGAGTGAGTGAGAGAGAGAGTGTGTGTGAGAGAGAGAGAGAGAGAGAGAGAGAGAGAGAGAGAGAGAGAGAGAGAGAGAGAGAGAGAGAGAGAGAGAGAGAGAGAGAGAGAGAGAGAGAGAGAGAGAGAGAGAGAGAGAGAGAGAGAGAGAGAGAGAGAGAGAGAGAGAGAGAGAGAGAGAGAGAGAGAGAGAGAGAGAGAGAGAGAGAGAGAGAGAGAGAGAGAGAGAGAGAGAGAGAGAGAGAGAGAGAGAGAGAGAGAGAGAGAGAGAGAGAGAGAGAGAGAGAGAGAGAGAGAGAGAGAGAGAGAGAGAGAGAGAGAGAGAGAGAGAGAGAGAGAGAGAGAGAGAGAGAGAGAGAGAGAGAGAGAGAGAGAGAGAGAGAGAGAGAGAGAGAGAGAGAGAGAGAGAGAGAGAGAGAGAGAGAGAGAGAGAGAGAGAGAGAGAGAGAGAGAGAGAGAGAGAGAGAGAGAGAGAGAGAGAGAGAGAGAGAGAGAGAGAGAGAGAGAGAGAGAGAGAGAGAGAGAGAGAGAGAGAGAGAGAGAGAGAGAGAGAGAGAGAGAGAGAGTGTGTGTGTGTGTGAGAGAGAGTGTTTGTGTGTGTGTGTGAGAGTGAGCGAGAGTGTTTGTGTGTGTGTGTGAGCGGGTGTGAGTGTGTGTGTGTGTGCGTGAGAGTGTGTGTGTGTGTGTGTGTGTGTGTGTGTGTGTGAATGAAACGAGGCGGGGCCTATTTAGAAGTTCTGACCCCCTTGGCCACGCCCACGCGAATGACGTCAGAGGCTCGGTTTGTACTGGCTACGTGCGGAACTCGAACCCACGCAAGAACGCGAGCTCGAGCCAGGATGGAGCCGTTTGTTTAACGGAGAAAGCGTGAATATTGTTGCACGATGAAACGGACGCCGTTGTTCGTGTTCAGTTGTCGAGGCTGATCAACGTGAAAGTTATCGCGCGGGGAAGGACTGGATTTAAAGGGCCAGCAGCACGCAATCGCGAACATGGACCGATGCGCTACGGTTCTGGACCCGGATCGTGATAAACAGTATTGCGAGCTGTGTGGAAAGATGGAAAACCTTTTAAAGTGCGGTCGGTGCCGGATTTCCTTCTACTGCAGCAAGGAGCATCAGAAGCAGCACTGGAAAAAACACAAACTCACCTGCAGAGAGGCTGACAAGAGCAAGACTGTGCCACAAACTCCTCATCAGCTGGAGAAAACAACTGATCCAGACAGAAAAGATCTGATCAACAGAACCGAAAGCTTAGAAACGGACCGCAGCACCAAACCCAAACCCCAAACCCAGAAACTGGCCACTGAGTATATAGTCCCATGCATGAACAAACATGGCATTTGTGTAGTGGACAGCTTTCTGGGTGAAGACATCGGGCTGTCCATACTGGAGGATGTGAGAGCTCTCCAGCAGACTGGTAAATTCACTGATGGACAGCTGGTGAGCCAGAAAAGTGACTCTACTAAGGACATAAGGGGGGATCAAATCACTTGGATCGAGGGGAAGGAGCCTGGATGCGACAAGATCTGCTTCTTGATGAGTCGCATGGATGACCTGGTCAGGAATTGCAATGGAAAACTGGGAAACTACTCAATAAATGGAAGGACTAAAGTAAGTATGCGTCAGTCATAGCGTGGATGATGTATTAAACACCGGCTCATCAGGGTTGCATCATTGTTTTGAAGAACTGTGTGAGTTACTGTCTACAGTGCCAGTGCAATCTGCTGATTTAAAGGGACAGTACACCAAAAAAAAAAAAAAAGCAGCAAATTCTGTCATCA